CTGGGAATTTAGATAGAATAAACAATTAAATGCCAAAAATCCAACATTTTTATTTTCTGTTTTTCTATTTTTAAGGCTCAGAAGTTTTCAGAATGTGAGCAACAGATCATGCCTCTGTGAGAATCAACACTTTCTGGAGAGAGATCTGTAGAGTCTTGATCCTGACCTGAAACATTGTCTCTGTATTTCTAGATTCTAGAATCCCAATGGGAAAAGAAACCACACAGAGATTCAGAGATTTAGCCCAGGAGCCTTTTTTTTTTTTAACAGAAGACTCTCAGAGATGTCTTCAAGGAGCCCTGGTTTAAAAACTTCTTGGAAGGAGAAGGAGGGATCTTTGTTACAAACTTCCGTCCCTCCTCCTGCTTCTGTTCCCTTACCCTCTGCCCCCTGCAGAGTTGTGTTTTCTGGGAATCAGCAAGTAAGATCACAAGTGGTCTTTTCTTTTTTCACTCTCTCCAATAAAGAAAGCTTTATCACGTGTGGCCTTAAACTTGCAGCAAATTGCAAAGAAATGGCTCAAAGGCTTCAGCTCTTTCTATGCCCTCGGAGCTGAGATGCACGTCAGTGGCTTTGTCAGCGTGGCCCGTTCTCTGTCGACTGCCAGAGAAAAGAGGCCAGGAGGGAAGCAGAAAGAAAAGAGATTGCCCAAGGGTGAGACCATGCCCTTCAACTTTTCTTTCCCCTAATCTGCTCTGTCTGTGTCCATCCAGGCTGTCCCCACCTGACAGAACTGCTCAGAGCTGCTGTAGCATTCACCCCAGTTTCCTCTTTCAGTCTGTGGAGTGGTCCAGCCTCTGAGAGGAATTGGTTGTCTTTGATCTCCACCTCCAGGTAAGATTTAGTTCTCTGCTTTAATGTTTTGTGACGATCATGTCAGATTCTCACAGAAGAGAGGTAAATAAACCCTTGAGTTCTGCATTTCTTGTCTTAGCCATAACACTTCTCCGTGGAAATTGCTGGACCCCTTGTTAGGTTGGTGGATATGCAAGAAAGACTGGTTAAACAAGCCAGATACACTCAGATCTAGGTTCAGATCCAGGTTCAGATTTTGACTCTGATGCTTATTAGTTGGGTAGTTTTGACAAGTTTCTTAACTGCCGTGAGCCATATCATTTTCTTTAAAATGGAAATTAAAATGCTAACCTTGTTAGGTTGTTTTTAAGATTAGCCAAAGGTATATAATCACCTTGCACAAGAAAATAGTACCTATTAAATCTGACTCTGACACAGTTACTCACATTGGGAGATCAGCTTTCTACAGAACACACATTCCTTCTTAGCAAGTCCCATGGGTTTATTCTCCCTCTTGAAGAGAAGGAATCTAGTGTCCAGAAGATAAGCTAGTAGAGAAGTTTTCCTCCTGTGAGATGACTAAGAGAAGAGGATAATGGGAAGTGGCTGCCTTTCTCAGTTTATGGCAATCTTTAGAGGCTGATTGCTGGATGGTCTGTCACAGGATCAGGGCACAGAGGATCAGCGCATCTGTTGTGCTCCATCTACAACATTCTTAGGCCACCTGAACTCTTTAAAGACCAGAAGATTGATTTTCAAACCCATGTGAACAGAGAATTCAATTTTTTTTTTTTTGAACTAAAATGAAGAAAATCTGCTTGGCTTATTTTTCTCTGGTCTCCAGAGTAAGTTAGACTCCAATCCAGGATGTTAGATAAAATCTTTGCCAGGATTCTTTTCCTGGAGTAATCTGTTCAAGTGGTAGAACATTTAAGGATCTACCCGGATGCAAATCTTTCTAAATAACTGTGCGCTCTTGCTCTATTCTGCTATTGCAAATAGAGAAAAGAAAGAGCACTTGCAGGCCCTAAGAATCTTTCCATTCAAGTC